CCCCAAAACCCCAAAACCCCAAAACCCCAAAACCCCAATTATCAACAAACAATTTGAAATAAGTCTTATTAATAAATTCTCTCCTGTTTACAAGATTCCTTTGTTTTGTTGGACTGACTTCAGTCTTAGATGGCCATAAAAGGGTGTCTTTTTAGTCTTCAATCCAGTTACTATTCTGAGATTAATCTTGTTCTCAGGTTGCCACCCAATAGACTCTTTATTATCCCTCTTCCTTAATACTTTATACGAAACAGAACCTGATTTCGACATATTTTTGTTAATGTATTCATTCTTCAAAGGTGAAAAAATCTTCTTTGGCTTTACGAAAGAATCTATCTTACTTTTTATGGTCTTTAAGTTCTTTCTAGATTTGCTCTTAGTGCCCCAACTATGCTCAGTGCTATTTCACAGCCTCGAATACTTTCTCTACTCTTCTCTTATGGATCAGGTCAGAGAGCTGATCCTTTGTGAATAAGCTCTTATTGTGTTTGGCTAATTTCCTAGTCAAGGAATGAACCTTCCTTTTCTCATAAACAGTTTTATTTTTCAGTAGGGTGCCTCTCTAGCTGGTGCTTTGCTCTTGACATTGTCTTTTTACTAAAAGGTCTTATTTCTAAAAATTTCAATAATCTGTATACCTGCTTTCTGGAAGTAAGTTGCCCTGAAGCTATCAGCAGGAGATGTCCCTTCGAAAGGAGTCAGATTAACCACAGAGCATTTCCTCGAACTATACATTTTGGACAGTTTCCTTACTTTTGTTTAGATTTGTCATACTCGAACTTTGTTGGTCCCGACTGGTATTTTGAGTCATAATAGTCGCGATTATATTTCACAGGCCTGATCTCAGATCTGAAATTAATTTTGGCAACTGACAAAGGGACTGGTTTATAATTTTCGTTTTCCTCTACTTCATTAATCGGTGTTCCTCCTTGGTAAAGGAAATGCATGTCATTATTAAGGTAATTTTCTGAACTCTGAAAATACAATCCTTCAAAATTTCTTCCATGGCTAGCTGGTTTCTGATGTGAGCGAACCCTTTTCTTCCTCCGGGAGGGAATGCTGGAGTTCTTAGGTGTTTCCAGAACAATCTTAATACTTTTAGAAGACTTCTCTCGAGACTCCTTCTCAATGCTCTCCCGAATCATTGCCAAATTAGTTGCTTTATTTTACTATCTTCCTTATATTTTTCAGTTCTCATGAAGATAAATTTGAGTGTTTATTTCGGAGGCTTGTTAACTCTAGCAGTGAAAGGTCTTTGAGTATTAGACAAGAAGAACCCTTGACTTTTGTTCTTCTTACCCTTATTCTTCTTATTTACTTATTTTCATCCCCTTCTCACTGGCTTGGGACTGGAGTTTATGAAGTGCATTTCCATGGTAATAGTCTAGACGGGATGCGATTTTCCGATTCTCTTCTGAACTATCCTCCTTGATTTCACCCTCAAAGGATTGGAAGGTCTGGGGAGTTTGTGTATTAGTTTTGAAAAATGACTTCTTGTGTATACTTTCCATACTGAATCTAGCTATTTATTATAAAATCTCTTTCAATAAAATAATGAAAGATGGGGTTTTGGGGTTTTGGGGTTTTGGGGTTTTGGGG